ATTTTGTATCCTTTGACCATCTCCCCACCACCACCACTACTCCAGCCCCTGGTATACACCATTCTACTCTCTGCTTCTATGAGGTCAATTTTTTAGATTCCACATATGGGTAAGATCATGCAGTATTTGTCTTTCTGTGCCCGGATTACTTCACTTAACATAATTTCTTGCAGGTTCATCCATGTTGTTGCAAATGACAGGATTTCGCCCCTTTTATGGCTGAGTGGTATTCCGTTATATATATATGCCACATTTTCTTTATCCATTCATTCATTGATGGACACTTAGGTTGAATCCACATCTTGGCTATTGTGAATAATGCTGCAGTAAACATGGGAATGCAGATAATCTCTTTGACATACTGATTTCATTTCCTTTGGTTATATACCTAGTAATAGGACTGCTAGATCATATGATAGTTCTATTTTTAACTTTTAAATGACCCTCCATACTGTTTTCCATAATGACTATTAATTTACATACCCACCAACAGTATGCAAATTTTTTCTTTTCTCCACATCCCCACCAACATTTGTTAACTTTTATCTTTCTGATAACAGCCATTCTAACAGGTGTGAGGTGATATCTCATTGTAGTTTTAATTCGCACTTCCCTGTTGATTAGCGATGTTGAACATTTTTCATATACTTGTTGGCCATTTATATGTCTTCTTTTGAGAAGTGTCCATTTGGGTTCTTTGCCCATTTTTTAATCAGGTTATTTGTTTTCTTTCTGTTGAGTTGTTTGAGTTCCTTATATATTATGGATATTAACTCTTTATCAGATGTATGGTTTGCAAAGATATTTTCCCATTCTGTTGGTGGTCTTTTCACTTTGTTGTTTCCTTTGCTGTGCAAAAGCTTTTTAGCTTGATGTAATCCCATCTGCCCATTTTTGCTTTTGTTGCCTGTGCTTTTGGGGTTATATCCAAAAAAATCATTGCCCAGACCAATGTCATGAAGCTTTTCTCCTCTGTTTTCTTCTATTAGTTTCATAGTTTTGGGTCTTACATTTAAATCTTTAGTCCATTTTGAGTTGATTTTTGTATATATTAATAGTTTGCAGTAAGGGTCTAATTTCATTCTTCTGCATGTGGCTATCCAGTTTTCCCAGCAGTATTTATTGAAGAGATTGTCCTTTCCCCATTGTATGTTCTTGGCATCTTTGTCAAAAATTAGTTAGCTACGAAGTGTGTGGATTTATTTCTGGGCTCTCTATTCTGTTCCATTGGTCTATGTGTCTGTTTTTTTTGCTGGTACCATGCTGTTTTGGCTACTACAGCTTTGTAATATATTTTGAAGTCAGGTAGTGTGATGCCTCCAGCTTTGTTCTTTTTGCTCAAGACTGCTTTTACTATTTGGGGTCTTTTGTAGTTCTATACAAATTTTAGGATTTTTTTTTTTTAATTTTGTGAAGAATGTAGGACAGAAATTCTTACCCTGAGTTCCTGTGACACCATTTATGATCTTGGAGACCACAAACCTCTTGAAATAGAATACTGAAGAGTTTTAGAAATTTATAAATTTGGGTTTTGAGGGGAAAGACATTTTTGGCTGTCACATTATGGGCAGAGTGCAACTTGGATCTAGTGGGTAGAGGTCAGGGATGCTGCCAAACATTGTACAGTGCACAGGATAGCTCTCTCATGCCCCCCAACACAGAATTATCCAGCCCAATATGTCGGTAGTGCCAAGGTTGAGAAACCCTGGTCTAGAATCAAAAGTCTGTGATACCTGGAATGACATGTAAAATGATTTTGTATAAACTAAGTGTTCTATAATATTGAATTAATTAAGCAAATCATACTAGACTCAAGTGATGGAATATTATGCAGCTAATAAAATGATGTTTATAAAGAATCATTAAAAGAATATTTGATGTGCTGTTAAGCAGTATTCTTGCTATGAACAATAATATTCAAGAAATGTTCCATTGTATATGAATCCTTTGTACTAAGATTGGGTTTTTATAAGGTATTCTGTAAGGATTATATCCAAAATAATACTTTAAAATACATTAATTGGTTATTCAGTGAAAAAGGGAAACAGGCATGGTGATGTATATTCTATGCATTTCTTCACTCAGTTTGCAAATGCGACTTATTGCATTGTGTTCATTCAGAGAAGAATCTTGGTAATGAAAGTGTCTGGTTATATTGGTGAGAAACAGCTAAAGGATGTTAGAACTAGTTGATGTTATTTATTATAGTCACATTGATTTCTTTGCTGACCCTTACGGCATAGTCAGTTTTTTTATGATTGAAAGTACACACTCCCTGATGACTCTGTTTTTATTTTTGTTTTTTAATTTGGAAGTAGCTTTATTATGTTGTTTTTTTGGTTAAGAGACGGGATCTTGCTATGTTGCTCAGGCTGGCCTCGAATTACTGGGTTCAAGCGAGCCTCCTGAGTAGCTGGGCCTTCAGGTTGGCGCCACTGTGACTAGCTTATGTATTTTTGATGATGTAATAGCATGGTTTGAAGGAAAAAAACAAAACAGTTACCTAAGGAACTTAAAAAGAAGAAAGTTAAGATTATAGTTCTACCTTCTAGAGATAGTCTTTATTGATTTTTTGGTTTATATTTTTCTGGTTGTTTTTTCTGTGTGCATATGTGAGTTTTATTTCTGCAGAATAGAATCAGTTTGAAAAATAAATCTAATCCAGTCATGGTTTTCATTCATTTCTGGGCCTGTGGCAAGAAGTGTAAAGTGGTCATTAGTGTTTCTTCTTCTGAGGCTTCCCTACTGGAAGGCATCTTTCCTCCTTATAAAGATAATTTAAGAAGATAACTTAGGAGGAATTCCATTTTCTAGGATGGGCTCTGATTTTTTTAATTAGCATTCTAAGAAAAGAATAGGCTCGACACTGTATTTTACTATAAGAAAAAAGAAAATAGTAGAATTAAATTCCTTGAACAAATGTAATCTTCTTTATTCTCAATAATAATAACACGTATCAAGAAATTGTTATTTGCCCTTATGTGTTTCAGCTGAGTTTTCTTACTAGTCTTGACAAGCTCTGTGGTGGTTACTCTGTTTCTGTTTTGCTAATGAGGAAACAGGCACTGAGCAGTTACTAATTGTCATAGTTCAGAGTCGCATTCTGAGTATGAAAACAAAACTTGTCTTTTTACTATTGATAGAACTCCATATTTGAGATTAGGTATGCTTTTTAAAACCTGCTTGCCTAACTTAGTAATTCATCGTGAATTTTTTCTTCATCAATTCATGTGGATTATCTTAATGACTAAGTGACTAGTATGCCATCATATAGTAAGTGACGCTTTATTTAACCATTTGCCAATTGTTAGATAAATTTAAGTTTCTAGTTTTTGGTGACCGTAGAGTATTCTCTGATGGTCATCCTTGTGTATGTATCTTGTTTGCTCCCATAGCTGTTTCCTATAGAAAATTCCTAGAATTAGAATTTGGGTCAATCATAAGATGCTTAGGTATCTATAGTATGGTGGATACTACGAAGACTAAAAGATATAGCTTCCATTTTTCAGTTTCTTATTATCCATCAAATAAGATAAAGGCTGAATAAGAATAAGGATATGGCAGAGTGTGATAAAGTCCATAGAAAAATTCAGGTCGCCTACTCTGAGAGTTTATAGAAAAGAGATATCTTTCAGTGTATAGTTCCCAGGCTTTGACTAAATTATCAGGAGCCCACGGGATTTCTGTAGACTTAAAAAAAAAAAAAATAATAATGCTGTAAGATTTGTACCTTATTTTTGAAATTCTAAATATGTTAAATGTAAAGGGACTAGTAATAACAGAAGATGATTCAGCAGCTGTTTAGAGAACATCATGGCTAAGTTGATAGGTTTAGAAACATAATAATAAACCTTCTGTGAAAGAAGTAGCAATGTCACTATTATTAATGAATACAAGACATTTTGGGGGCTTGTATACATTTTTTTCTAGAAATTATTCTAACGTACACAGAAAGACATAGACATCTAAGTGTTGGTTCAAGAATTGGGAAATAGGCCAGGTGTGATGGATCATACCTGTAATCCTAGCACTCTGGGAGGCCGAGGCGGGAGGGTCGCTTGAGGTCAGTAGTTCGAGACCAGCCTCAGCAAGAGTGAGAACCCCATCTCTACTAAAAAAAAAAAGAAAGAAAGAAATTAGCTGGACAACTAAACATAGAAAAAATTAGCTGGGCATGGTGGCACAGGCCTGTAGTTCCAGCTACTAGAGAGGCTGAAGCAGGAGGATTGCTTGAGCCCAGAAGTCTGAGGCTGCTGTGAGCTAGGCTAACGCCATGGCACTCTAGCCTGGGCTACAGAGTGAGACTGTCTGGAAAAAAAAAAAGAATTGGGAAATAAAGGAAACAAACCCATTAAGTAAAAACAAGAGCTTATTAGAGTATCCTTTTTCCCCCAAGTTCAAAGGGAGATGTCTAAATAAAAGGTGTCTTTCATCTAATTTGGAGAACAGTTTCCTCATAGGAAAAAAAGGTATATGTACATACACAGATATAGACACATACATGTATGTAAATGTATGTGACTGTAACTATATATATCCCAAGTTAATGCCTGGCCATAGTTACAATTATGAAGTACTCTTAAGTAAAAAGAAGAAAATTGGGGCCATAATACAAAGATAAGAACTGTTAATATGCATATAATTTTTTCTAAAATTCTTTTCTATTAATGCTTTTTAGTCTTTCCATAAATTTTATAAATTTAATTATGTTGTCCATCCTGTTTTCTAACCTGATCTTTCTGTTGATTGTATATCTTGAACATTTAATGATTACTTTGCATTCTATCACATGGATGTTCCAAACTGTGTTTAGCCAGTGGTTTTGTTAGACTCAGAGTGCTGAACACTGCCTGAGCAATTCCATCTATTAATAGTATCCTCTCCAGCTTTCATGCCTTGCCCACTTCACCCAGTCCTGAGTTCACAGAAAGGTTCTGATTTGGATGATGTGACCCCTTCTCAGCCTTGAAAGGATCTGCTTAGAGCAGGATCGGGGCCCAGTTGGCAGCCAAGGTACGCATCCCAAGAATGGAGGACTGGCTGGAATCTCTCCTGCTGGAGTATTTTTTGAGCAACTTCAAGGCAGAAGTGCCTGTGCTCTGCATTCATGCTTCTGCAGCAGGTTCCCTGGGGTTTAGGAGAGAGCTTGGTTTGTCCAGGCTCCTGTTCACTACTGATTTGTGTGTGTGTGGAGGGGAGAGTCGTGGGAGAAGAGTGGAAGTGTATGTGTTAGCAGGGGTAGTTGAGAAATAGAAATGGGGATAAAATAGCTATATTGTTTTAAGTCACTTTGGAAGCACTGAGGCACAGCTTGACTTAATGTCCCCTCCCCTTTTCTTTGTCCTGCAGGGGAGAAGCCTTAGGAAGATTGACCAGTTTTGGAATTCTAAAAACATGGTCCACGTAAGTTGGTATTTCTCTCTTCTCCTTGAAATGTGGTGGCTTTCAGGTTAGGTAACTCCATTATTATTTAACCTGAAGCTTCCTACCTAAGGATCCAAGATCCTACACCCCAGTTTGTCCCATTACAGTGAAGGTTGGTGACAAAAAAAAAAGAAGTTCAGTGATTTTCCTATTTGTGCCTCTCTTTTCCAACTGATGTTGAGATTTTCTTTTTTTTTTTTTTTTTTTT